ACAAAAAAAACAAAATGACACTAGCCAAAGAATAAAAACCTTACAATGGGCCGGGCATGGTGGCTCACACCTGTAATCCCAGAACTTTGGGAGGCCGAGGCAGGTGGATCACCTGAGGTCAGGAGTTTGAGACCAGCCTGACCAACATGGAAAAACCCCGTTTCTACTAAAAATACAAAATTAGCCAGGCGTGGTGGCACACGCCTGTAATCCCAGCTACTCGGGAGGCTGAGGCAGGAGAATCACTAGAACCTGGAAGGTGGAGATTGCAGTGAGCCGAGATCGCACCACTGCACTCCAGCCTGGGCAACAAGAGCGAAACTCGGTCTCCAAATTAAATTAAATTAAAAATTAAAAAAAAAAATATATATATATATAAAACTAAAGTGTCGAGGACAAAATGGAGAAATAGGTAAATTCACTGTAATTGTTAAAGATTTTAATATACCTATTTCATATATCCTTTAAAAAATCAATGATTATATCAATAGATATAAAATATTTGAACAACATGACTAACCAATATGATCTAATTGACATACATAAAATACTATTCCCAACATCAGAATACACATTTTTTCGAGTATACATGAAACATTTGCCAAAATAACCATATGTTGGGTTATAAAGCAAGCTCAACATATTTTTAAGAATTGAAGTCATACAGAGTATGTTCTTAGGCCACAGTGGAATCATACTAGAAACCATAACAGAAAGAACCAGTTTTAAATAACCTTTATGTCAAAAAAGAAATCATAATAGAAATTAGAAAATATTTAAAATATAATGAAAACACAACATTAAAAACTTCTGTGATGTAGCTAGAATAGTGCTTAGAGGACAATTTACAGCATTAAATACATTACACAAGAGGTTAAAAATTATTGATCTAAACATCCATCTCAAGAACCGGAAAAAGAAAAGCAAACTCAAGATAGTAAAAGCAATGACCTAAGTTAGGTGAGCAGAAATCGGTAAAAGAAAAGGCAGACATGAATAACCTAGAGAAAACTCAATAACACTGGTTCTTTGAAAAAATTGGGAAAATTGATAAATCTCTAATAAAACTGATCAAGATAAAAGCACAAGTACAAGCTGGGCACGGTGGCTCACGCTTGTAATCCCAGCACTTTGGGAGGCCAAGGTGGGCGCATCACCTGAGGTCAGGAGTTCAAGACCAGCTTGGCCAACACGGTGAAACCCTGTCTCTACTAAAAAATAGAAAAATTAGCCAGGTGAGGTGGCACCTGCCTATAATCCCAGCTACACAGGAGACTGAGGCAGAAGAATCACTTGAACCTGGGGGGCGGAGCTTGTAGTTAGCCAAGATTGTGCCACTGCACTCCAGCCTGGGTGACAGAGCAAGACTTTGTCTCAAAAAAAAAACAAGTACAGAAATTACCAATATCAGGAATATAAAAGGAGACAGCACTACACATTTTATAAATGTTAAAAAGATAAGAAGCTTAAAAGGACAACATCAAGAAAGTGAAAGGATGACCCACAGAATGGAAGAAAATATTTGCAAATCATATATCTGATAAGGGACATGTATCTAGAATATATAAAGAACTCTTACAACTTCATCAATAAAATACAAATAATCCAATTAAAAATGGGCAAAGAATCTGAATGGACATTTCTCCAAAGAAGACATACAAATGGCCAATAAGCACGTGAAAATTTGATTGACATCATTAGCCACAGGGAAATGCAAATTAAAACCGCAATGAGATACCACTTCACACCAACTAGTATGGCTTAATTAAAAAGACAGATAGTAACAGGTGTTAGCAAAGCTGTGGAGAAATTGGAATTCTCTCATATGTGGCTGATTGGAATATAAAATGGTACAACCACTTTGGAAAACAGTCTGGCAGTTTCTCAAAGGTCAAACATATTTACCCTGTAATTCCACTCCTACACATATACTCAAGGGAAATGAAAACAGATGTACACAAAACTTTGTATATGAATGTTCATAGCAGTGTTATTTATAATTGCCCCCAAATAGAAACAACCCAGACATCCATCAGTTGATGAACAAATAAAATGTAGTATAGTTGTTCAATGAAATATCACTCAGTCATTGAAAATGAATGAAGTGCTGATACATGCTACAACAAGGATGAGGTTTGAAAACATGCTAAGTAAAAGAAGCCAGTCACAAAGGACCACATATTGTATGGTTCCGTTTATATGAAATGTTCATATAAATCTGTAGAGACAAATCTGTAGAGACAGAAAGTCAAGTAGTGGTTGCCTATTGTTAAGGAGAAGAGGTAGCTTAGAGAAAAATGAGGAGTGGCAGGTAATGGCAAAAGGGTTTCTTTTTAGTGTAATGAAATGTTCTAAAATTGATTATGGTCATGATTGCACAACTCTGTGAATATACTAAATAAAAAGCATTGATTGTGCATTTCATGTGAGTTAATCAGATGGTGTGTTAATTATATCTCAACAAAGCTGTTAAAAAGTATGAGGATATTATGAAAAACCTCACGTCCCCCCAAAATTCATCTACTTAGATGAAATGTACTTATATATCAAAATACTCTTTTAAAAGTCTTAATAAAATGAACACAAAAATAAATAAATAATTGAATATTTATATAGCTGTTTAAAAAATTGAATCTGTAATTGAAGTCCTCCCGTACAGAAAACTTCAGTTTACTATATTTCAGAGATGACTTATTCCAAACATTTAAGGAAAAATATAGCAATTATAAATGTTCTTCAGAAAATAGAGAGCACTTCACAGCATGTCTTGTGAAGCCAGCATAATCTTGATACCAAAATCTGACAAAAACATTATAAGAAAAATGACAGGCCAATGTCTCTCATCAACATAAATACAAACATTATAAATAACATAGCAGAAAATTTAATAAACTTTTCTATAAAAAAAGACAACAAATTATGACTAAATGGAGTTCATTCTAAAAACACAATTTTGGATTAACTTTTGAAAATCTGTGAAATTAACCACATTAACAAATGTATGAGGGAGATCACATGATTAATAGATGCAGAAAAAGCATTTGACATAATTCACCCTTTCAAGAAAAAATTAAAATAAACCTCTCAGCAAACTAGAAGTAGAAGCAGGTTATTCAACTCAGACCATCAAATATATTTATCTCATGTCCCCCATGTTCTATAGACACAATGAAGGGAAAACACTAATGTGTTTATCTGAACAATGCCTAGGGGATGATGAAGCAGACTTGGAAGGAACCCGGGCCGTTGAGTGCCCGTTTAGTAGTGGGGCTGCTCTACAACCCCGGACCATTTACGTTAGCACCGTTAGGTTAGAGAAACTTAAAAGATCTTTTTTCTTTGATTGATTGGTTGATTGATTGATTGGAGACAGAGCCTCACTGTGTCACACAGGCTGGAGTACAGTGGTACTCACTGCAACCTCAGCCTCCTGGGTTCAAGCCATTCTGCCTCAGCCTCCTGAGTTGCTGGGATCACAGGCATATGCTACCATGTCCGGCTAGTTTTTGTATTTTTAGTAGAGGTGGGGTTTCGCCATGTTGGCCAGACTGATCTCGAACTCCTGGCCTCAAGTGATCCACCCACCTCAGCCTCCCAAAGTGCTGGGATTATAGGCGTGAGTTTGTTCTTTTAGCCACTGGTGATGGTGTCTTTTTGTTACAGTGGCTTAGCCACACCCCTATTAATGCAGAAGCTGGCATGTAATGCATTTCATTTGAAAGCATAGATGATTTGAAAGCATTTGATGATCAAGATGACTACGCATCAAAAATATTTACCCAAGAAGGTTACAGAGTGTCTATCTGTGCAGATCAATAAAGAGAATTGGATTGGCCCACAGTGATATGGGACGAGTTTGCTTATCAGTTTGAATTCTGGCATTTGCTAGAATAAAAATAATTGTTTTATTTTGGTATGTATCACATTATCAAGTTTTGGGAGCCTTTAAAACACTTGAAGCTGTGCTAATTTATGTATTTTGATGAGCTTAACCATTTACATTTATTATAATTACTGTTACACTTGAACTTAATTCTGCCATACTTCGTTTTGTTTCCCCTCCCCTACTTTTCTTACCTTCTATTGCAGGGGTCCCCAACCCCCAGGCCATGGACCTGTACTGATCAGTGGCCTGTTAGGAAGTGGGCCACACAGCAGGAGGTGAGCACAGGCAAGCAAGCATTACCATCTGAACTTCCTCCGGTCAGATCAGTAGCAGCATTTAGATTCTCATAGGAGCATGAACCCTATTGTGAACTGTGCATGTGAGGGATCTAGGTTGCATGCTCCTTGTGAGAATCTAACTAATGCTTGATGATCTGAGGTGGAACAGTTTCATCCTGAAACCATCCCTCCTCCTGGCCACCCGCTGCTTCCCATCCATGGAAAAATTGTCTTCCACGAAACCAATCCCTGTTGCCAAAAAGGTTGGGGACCACTGTTTATTGGATTTAAAAGTCCTATCTCACCCCTTACTCCCACTTCTTTGGGAAGCTCTAGGATGCATTCCTTTCTTTCTTTCTCTCTCTCTCTTTCTTTCTTTCTTTCTTTCTTTCTTTCTTTCTTTCTTTCTTTCTTTCTTTCT